TTGGAGTAATCACTCGCAAAAAATTGTTCATAATTTTTCTGTTGGTTAATTTGTCTACAACTTATGTGACTTTGGCAATAACAGAGTTGGCTAATCAGTGGCTAAACATTGTACACAGACAGAAAAACCTTTCCTCTATAGCCGAATGGGCAGATTTGCATCATGAAATAATCAGATCACTATAATCATTTGGTAAAAGTAAGTGTTTATAGGTGTACAACAACTCATGGTTGCATGAATTGTTTGGAAATTGTCCTAAAAAATAAGTGGTAAAACTAGGGCTGGGTGTTAAATTGCACTATATTTGTAACACAGAGTATTTAAACCTGACAAATAAAAGCTGGCACTGAATGTTTGTATTCCTGTTGACTTAATCTACAGGTCTGTGCACAATTTGTCCAGTCCAGCATCACTGTTTAGTGTGACCTCCCTGCATTTAGCACGGCTTGAATTCTTTTGGGGAAATGTCTTGAAACTGTGACAGACCCTCTACCATTTCACTGAAGGCTGCGTGCACTCATTCTCCCATCTCTCTCCATCTCTTCTTCTCACATAGTGTCGATGATTGAACTCGAAAATTTCTAACTTCGACTCTTCGCTCCATAAGACTTTTTCCTACTCATCTTCACTTCTGTCTTTGTGAGGTTTTGCACATCTCAGCCTTTTCTCCCTGTCCCCCTTGTGAAAAACAGGTTTCTCGGCTGCTGTCCTGCTACAAATGCCGTTCTTGATCAAACATCTGCGGACTGTGGCAGGACCAACTTGGCTTTCAGATGAAGCTGCCAGGTCCTTGCTGGATTTCATCTGGTCTCTCAAAGAAGAAATTCTGAGAAACGTCTCATGATATTTTGACAGTTTTCTTGGTCCTCCACTCCTGTTTTTGTCCCTGACCTTGAACAGCTTGAATAGCACATCTGGATTATCCAGTGTGTTTGCTTTTTTTTTCTTCTTATATTTTTGTGGTTTTCCTAAATACTGTGTACACATTTGCTATATTTTCTAGTTGTATTCTGATAAATAAATATATATAGTCATCATAACATTGCCAAAACAACAAATTGAATGGTGGCCTAAGCTTTTTGCACAGTATTGTACATATTTACTTTAATGAAATAATTTTAGTGATAGCTTTGCCCAGAGTTTGCCATTTGACCACTATCTGAAATTTTCAAAAGGATCCCATTATTATTTATATTTCGATTTTGTGAATTAACATATTAATAACAATATAAATAATTCATTAGTTTAATCAGATTTTTCACCACCACTTTGCACTGGGCACACTCAGTGACCTTTGCTGCCATATCCACACAATCAAAGCACTGAGTGAAATCAGATGATGTGTTTACATGTCCAGATAAATTCAGTGATTGGACACACTTCTGAATGTGTTAACAAGGTTCTGGTTACACTGATTATTAGTTAATGTGATTAAAAAGATTAGACTTAGGCTGTTCACAGAAAGTATTCTGTAGTCAGAGAATTGTCTTAATCTGATTGTAATTAAGTTATTGTGTATTGTACTGAATGTTGGAAAGTGGGGGAGGAAGCCTGACGCTTAAACTGTCCAGGTATCACTGAAGGGCTCATTAAACAGTTAAATGGCTCCTTGGTGCATGAACTTCTCAGCAGAGGTGTTCCTATGTTTGTAGTCATTAGATCAGTGTGTGAAGAGAGAGAGAGAGAGAATCTGGGCTGAAGTGTGTGTTAGCATGCATGTGCCTGTGTAAGAAGTGCATGTCCGTGGTTGAATGTGTCTGTGTGGAAATCACTAAGCTGGGTTATCAGCTTTAGGAGCCTGGGAAACTGGAACAGACTAAGATATAGACAGAGGAGAGATAAAGACAACGGTTAAAGAATGGGAGAGAACAAGGGAGCGAGAAATAAAGAAAAGAGTCATGAACTTTATTATTGTTTGGTCACTGCTGGGGTGATAAATCTTTTTGTTTTCTGGATCAAGTGTGTCACTGTGTCACATTCTTTCTCTTTCATCACTATGAACCCTGTGTGTTTTGCTCTCCTGCTGCTATCATAAGCTCACATGCTTCTTCCCATGTCTCTGCTGCAGTATTTACACTGCCAGTTTAATCCAGTGACATGAAGAATGCTTTAAGGTGGGGGGAGGGTAATGTTGCTTGTGGTCACTGGGAGGAAAAAAGCCAAAACAACAGATGGGAGTGTGTAGTGTGTTTAACCCAGATTCTATCTCTCTAATCCTGTCTTCACTGCAAGAATGTCCGCGTTTCATGCTGGACCTGACACATCAAATGACTGTTTGGATTCGGACCGGGCTGAGCTGGGGATAAAAAGGTGGCTCAGTGAGTTCTGGACACATTGGGGTCATATACTGGATAGAAAGCAATCAAGGTCAACTTGTTGAAGAAATTGTGATCCACAGGGAGATGTTATTTTGAACCTTACTGCTGTTAGAAAAATAAAAAAATATGTTCCAGCAACAAACCTCGATCACTGCGCCAGTGGCAATAAATTACATGACTCATTTGAGGTGAGCAGTTGGGGTGGGGGTTGAGGGAGCTTCCATCAGCTGATCTAGCGGAGGGGGTGGTTGGGGGTTAGGAATGGGGAGGGGGTGTATTGGTTGTTGGTGTGCCAGATGAATCAGTCAGCTGGTACAACATCATTAGCTGACCTTATAAAACAAAACAAGGTCAGTGGTGGAGTTACCCGCCCCCAGCTCCCCGGGTAGGCGACCTAAACCAGTAATAAGTACCGCTCATTCTTTTAATCTTAATACATTAGTGTCTCATGCCTTCCCGTCTTACCACCCATCGATCAGCCCAGCTCTGGTGGCTGCTGTTGTCTTTAGCCACCCTTTTGTTTACATTCTACTCCTCAGTATGCTTGATTTCATTCTTTGCCCTTTATTTCTTACTACCCATCAATCTTTACCCCCGATCACCACCACAGTTTGGCACCCTTCAAGGTCAAAGGGAATATGTCGAGGCTTTCTAGGTCAGCTCACTGGTCTTGTCTTGGTAAATTAGTTGATTAGAAATCCCTAATTACATGTCTTTAATCTGTCTCAGGGTGCCCGTCTCCAAGGTATTTAAAAAAAAAAAAAGACTCTAAACTAAATAGTTGTGTACATGTTTCAGTATGAGATGGATCCTAGAAGAAACTTTAAACATTGCAGAGTATTTTTTAATTATAGGGATGTTTTGTGCAGTTTCATGACACCTGAGATAGAAAGTCACCTTTTTGGCATGTGTTTTATGCCTCAGCGGTGACACCTGAGATAATTTTGTTTATCCCTTATTGCTTTATGCAGTATTAAATATTTGACGAACACTTGCTGAGGACACATCTGTCTAGTCTTATCATGGGTTGTGAAGTTGCTATCAAAACATTTTTGACTCCCCCACACTGGCTTAATGGTGTTATTGGTATTAGCTTACAATTAGTAGCATGACATTCTGCTTGGTATCGAGCTTTTCTGTGCCTGATGGCATCACAGCAGCCCAGTATTTATCCTGCTAGACAGCCAGTGATGGTTGGTCAGCGTTTCTGTTGATTCTACCTGCAATCAATGCAATCCAGGGCTGACACTGCAGAACAGGAGCCAGACAAGGATCAATGAGTCTGTAATGGGATCAGAACCAACCATTGCAACAGAGCCTCCAGGGTTGCAGCTCTCACACAAGGGTGTGATCTGACCAAATCGGCTCATGTTAGAGATGTTCCTGATGGTTGTCAGGGTGAGTTGTAAGGGTCTACAAGAATCAAAAATATACTGTATGTGTGTTTGATGTTTAGAAGGTTGGGTTTCTGGCACCTAAACAATAAAGTGAACCTTTTCTGACTTGCTCAGTCAGGCTGACCATCACAGTTGTCGTTCTCAGAGGATCATGGTAATAAGAAGAGACAGCAGAGGGAATTAAGGATCAACAGAGACCTGTTGATGCATTATAACCTTAATTTCACTGGTCAGTTAATGATGCATCAAACACAACGCGTTGGCGGGAGTGTTGTTAATGCCCAGTTGGTTAATCAGTGAGATCCAATGTCACGATCTTTGATCAGAGGAGGGACACGAGGAGGTCCATGCTCGTGGAATTGAGCCATGGCAGAGGTCTTGGGCAAGCGATCTAGCGGCCAGCTGAATCAGCAAGGGTTATGACCAGCAGGATGTGAGGTCAAGGATCAAGGCCTCGTCGAGCGGCTCTTTGCTCTCCAGACAGCCATAAACTGTGTTCCCCCATTAGAGGAATCTCAGCAGTGACAGTCAACAGCGGGATGTCAGTGTCACTCTCAAGTGTTTTTAGATTCTCCACTTGTAAAGTGCTGAAATAAATCAATTGGGTTTGTCTACATAAAATGTAATGACTTCCCCCCCCCCCCCCAAACCCAAATATCTGCAAACTGAATATCTTTGGGTGCTGGTCTCACAAGATCTCATGTTGGCTCTGGGATGATTTTTACTATTTTCTTACATTTTAAAGATTAAATAATTAATTGATTACATTAGTATTGTTTAGCAGATTACTTGATAAACCTTTCATGTAAATCAGCCACACTTTGAGCTTGTTCTCTTTTTATGAACATTTGTTGCACTGTTGTTAAAATTAGTTTAAAAAAGCATGACTTAAATAGATCTAATAAAAAAAAAAAGCTGTAAATAATGAAGCAGGGAAGACGTTGTCCACTCAGGAATCCTGTTTGGCAGTAAATGAGCAGAAGATTTTTCTTTCAAAGCAGCTTGGAGAAGACTGAGCGGTGTGTGGGAAACATGCGACCTGCACTGATGACACTAATTCACCTGAATACCAGCTTGTCACTGATGCTCTACACTGTCAGTACAGAGTCGTGTCTGTCTCTCGATCTATCATTACCTTTCTTCACCTCCCTTTCTTCTCAGTTCTGTTTGAATACATCTCATCTCAAACACAGTTAATGAAATTTGACATATAGGATCAACAGGATGGCTCAAAGCTAACCGACTTCTGCCTGGAGCCTTCACTGCATTGTTTTTTTTGTCTTAGGTTGATGCACAAATTGAGCCTTGACAGTCAAACCTGAATAAGAAGTACAACAAGATGGGGAGAATGACAGGCCAGGCTGTGAGTGACGAAACTTAGAGAGAAGGCGAACAAGAAACCAAGCAGCAGAGGGAGCAACAAGAAGGTAAGAAGACAAAGGAGGGAGAAACAGGAGGCTGCGTAGACGGAAGAGTGGGCGTTTTTATTGGTGTCATGAGAGGAGAAATCGATAAAAGAGGTGAAAAAGCCGCCCGGTTTTAAGAGCCCCATCACTGCAGCAATGAAAGGAGCCTTCAAAGAGTCAGTCTAATCAGAGGTTAAATAAAGATAGGAGCAGGCGGTACTTTGAATAGCCCTGCTCTTGTAATGTAACACCTACTGCCCTGCACTCAGTGGCCCCTTAAACTCAGTGTGTGTATGTGTCTGTTCATTCTTGTTCTTTCTCCATTCTCACACGTTGATGTACAGAGTGCCCGACATGTTTCTGACAGCTCGTGTGCAGTTAACAGACTCTCAGAAAGCAGATGAACCCATTTTGTGTCCTCCTCTGTCGGTCTCTCGTATCTGAGCCCCGTCTCAACCAAAGTGAGACAAAGCAGATATATGTGCTTAGGTTACATGTTGCACTAACAGCATGGTAGTCTACCCTCTGTACCCGTCACCCTTCTGCTTACCTGCCTTTTTTTTTTTTTTTATCTACCGCGCCATAGACTCATTCATCATGTGTGTAGGTTCTCACCATGATAAGGTACCAGCCACTGACTCAATACTGCAGCCTTGGGTCTGTCTTCATGAGCCTCTCCCTGTTTTTAAGAGGCACCGTGTGGACAGAGCAGATTCCAGCCTGAGCAATGAGTTTGCTCTGGGCACACAGAGGCCGAGATATGTAGGTGTAAAAGGCCTTTACACAATGTCATTACATGTCATTCAACGTTGTTAAAGTTTACAAGGCGGTTTGCTTTAGTTCAGCCATGGTTTGTGGTGTTAATGGACATTCATATTTTTAATGCAGATGAGTGCAGAATTATAAGGATACATATAGAGGGTTGGTTCGCAGATTGTTAGAATGACTCAGTTTGCTAAGGTCCAAAGCTAACAAATCTTTTATTGACTCTTTTAAAGCTGCTCTAAGAAATATGTTTATAAAATTATCATTTGATCAAATGACTGTGTAAGAATAAGAATGGGACAAGCATAGAGTGAATTATCATCTACACTGCACTTCTCATAAGTTCTACTGAGAGTTTTAGTATCTTTCTGCTCTTTGTTATGGTTTTCCAGCAGTTAAAGAGGTAGATATTTCTATCAGAGTTTGGTGGAGACCAAACCAAAACCAGAGCTAAAAGAAGAGTGACTGTCAAATGAATGCTAATGCTCCTCTGTGTGTGCTGGATGCATATATGATAGAATTTTGCCAATATACTGGCCATAACAGCTTTATAAGGTGGAACTGTAATATAACATGTTTACAGCTTTTCTTCTTTCCAAAAATATCTATTAATACAGCTTTAACTGTCTTTGCTCCTAAACATTGAGGTAGCAGGCCTTTGCTGTCTGCTGCTGAAAATGATTGTCAGCTGTACTGTAATGTTGTCTAACTAACTTGCCTAAAGACCAAAATGAAACTTGGCTGTTGCCTGGTTAACATGCTATCTGCAAACTGGTGCCTGTACCCGGCCAAACGCTGTGTATTAGACAAAGAAGCATTGTTGTGTAACAACATTTTACAGTTATGAGTTAACTGGGTTTTCACAGTCCAAGAGGAGTGACTCATTTATACTGAAACAACCTAGTTTGTTGTCTCGTATCAGTTTTACTTCACGATTTAAACTTTTCTGCATCGTATATCAGAATTCTATTTATCAATTTTCAAGTGTTTGTATTTTCTCTTACAAATTTCTGATGTTGGTACAGATTGATGACAGTGATGACCACATCAAACAAGCGGAAGAAAGGATGTGTCGCTCTCATCATAAAGAAGATCACTGTGACTAGACTGCACACTAACCGAGTCTTTTTCTTAATGAAACAAAGTAAACCTTCATGTTATTGCTCGATATTTGAAAGTAAACCCTTAAGTTTTATTAAAGCATGGTGCATCCTCATTATTAATAGATACAGAATTGCAAAGGTGGGAGTAAGTCACACATGTGCAAGTCACAAGCCAGTCTCAAATCCTAAACTTCAAGTCACAGTCAAGTCCCAAGTTATTGTGGTGAAATACCCGGGGCTTTTCTATGTGGAGTCTGCATGTTCTCCCTGTGTCTGTGTGGGTTCTCTCTGGGTGCTCCGGCTTCTTCCCACAGTCTAAAGCCATGCAGCTTAGGTTGAATGGTGACTCTAAATTGCCTGTAGGAGTGAGTGTGAATGTGTGTGGTTGTTGGTCTATATGTCAGTCCAGTGATAGACTGGTGACCTGTCCAGGGTGCACCCCATCTCTCGCCCAATGTCAGCTGCAATAAGTGGTATAGATAATGGATGGATTGATTATTTAGGCCCCTCCATAGCTGCCTCATGTGACCTGTGTTGCCCTCTGCTGGTCTGCTGCTTTCTGGTTGGTTGCCAAGTTTGCCTGGATTGCACTAGAAATCACCCAACTGTGTTTCAAAAAGAAAATGTAACTTCTCCATATCTGGGGAAAATCGAACTATTTAATTAAATTTTATACATTTAGATGCTTAAAATGTTGAAAATTAAGCCTAAACAGATCTGATAAATGGGTTCAGTAAGGGATTCACATTGAGTAAAACTGTAGCGAATGCCTACCACACACACGCTGTGGTTGTGTTCTTCAGATACTTGTGCTCTGTCATTCTGATGTTCCCCAAATCCTTCTTCCCTCCTCCCCATTAACCCCTGACACCTCGCCCCTACCAACACATCCCTGTGTCTAAGCCAGCATTATCAGCGGACTCATTAGGACAGCATTAGTGTCAAAGATGGACACAGGGATATGGATCCACAGCTGGATCAGGAAGCCGGAGAAGACCCAAAACCGTTTTTAAAAATTCTCCTTCCCGCTTCCTTCTCTTCATGCTATTGTTAAGGGATGCCTCAGTTCTGACACCGGAGGTCAGAGGTCACTCGTTCACAGGAGCCATCCAGTTCCTTCTTCCAAATGCACTGTCACCATGATTCACCACTCACACCGGTCTGTGTCACTCTGCCTCGACACAGCTGTCACTCACATTCACAGGCTTGTGAATATGCAGAGCTTGCGGGCGGCTGCATACTTTTATTAGGGGAAGCTTCTCACAGGCCCTTTTCTTCTTAGAGATCACAGTGCTTGAGATGATACACAAACATCTCTGACAGTATCTGAGGCTTTTCTTTAACAAGCACAGTAAACCAGGTTTTAACTAAAATGTGTGCACATTTTCAAACTATAAACCCTTGTGAAGTGTCGTCAAATCCATTGTTTACTGTCCGTGTACTGGTCAACATGTTGCAGTCACACTTGACAAGCAACCATATCTGAATGCAGTCATTTATTATGGGTAGCTAGCTATTTATTTGATAATCTGCAAGGTTACCTAAAGATAAGGGGACTTAAACTACTTCCTGTGTTTTCACTTTACTTAACCTTGATATAAAGACAATAACATTTTTTTTGTAAAGTAAAATATCTAACTATTTTCTTTACAGCCTTTTAGAAAGAGTTATTTATTTGAAGGTCTTTGTGGTGACCAAATAAAAAGCAAACTATGACCTTTTTCGCTTGTTTTTATTTGTTTTAGCAAGTAACATTCCAGGTGGTCCCACTATTATTTTGAATGAATCTTTATTATTACAGTCAAAACATGCGACAGTACTTAAAAGCCACATTCATCATCTTGAATAAAAGGAGAACGTTTGCCATGTTAGCATCTTTTCTGCATGAAGAGAGTGTCGGAGCCTTGACCCTGTGACCCAGATAGCGCCACTCAGGAAACCACTGCCCACATTCCCCTTGCCAACAAATGGCTCCTTCTAATCATTAACACACAAATGGACCATGTTCTCATGTGTTTTTGTGTGAGACTGTGTGCATGTGTGTGTGTGTGTGTGTGTGTGTGTGTGTGTGTTTATTGCGTGCTCTCCGCTCAACACAAAGCTGTGATAGACATAGAAAGCTGATGCCCACTTAAAGCTCAGGTTTAAATTTAGCAGCACAAGATACGTGGAGCCTTGCTCAGTCTCTCTGCTTGTGTACTCCAGGACGGATGTTTGAACAGGCACGGTTATCTATTAAAAAAGGAAACTAGTAAACGTAGGCTGCAAAGGTGCAGTAATTTTTATGATAAACCAAGAGGTGTTTGATCTGTGCGGTGTGTGTGTGTGTATGTGTGTTTGAGTGAATTTTGAGCTGCGTTTCCAAGAACGTGCTCACACCCAGCTCCCTCTCCTTGTGTTTAAGTAGAAGAACACAAAAGGAGCTGCCAGAAGTCTCACTCTGTGATTTTTGTTTTCTCTTCGGCCCCTTAAGGCCATTCTAAAATAAAAAGAAAGAGAAAAAACAGAGCAGGTGAAGAGATGAAAAGCAAGCGAAGGCTTGGCTCAACAGTATCAGGTGTTCAGGTGTGTGCAGTGGTGAGAGTGTCTGTGTGGGAGTGAGTGCAGGAGGGTCTGTTCCAGAAGTGATTGCTTCACTTCCGTCAGGTGACTGATTGTCCATAGCAGTGGCCCTGAGGGGACAGGTGAGGGTCAAAGTTCACAGCCTAGCAGGCAGGGGGTCTTATGTGGGGCAGAAGAGAAGGGTTCATCACCACGGCTGATCTGAACTGCTTTGCCTTTAAGGAGTCACAAAGACCTACAGCAGAGCAACATCTGGGAAGATTATTCTACGAGTCAAATTAGTCTGTAACTGATTTGATTGTCATTTAACCATTTTGTAAGTGTTTAAACAAATGTTCAGTTCAACTCAATGGAGAAGTGTGTCCAAACTTTTAACTGGTGTGTGTGTGTTTGTGTGTGTGTATATATACTGTATATACACATCACAGTCAGTGGTGGAAGAAGTACTCATTGTTTACTTTAGTAACAATACTGTTACAAATAAAAGTCTTGCATTCAAAATGTAGTAAAAGTACTGACATCACCAATATCAAAGGCAAAAGCACCCAATTATGCAGAAGAGCACATTTCACATTAATGTATATCATATTATTGGATTATTGATTGGTATTTTGTGAATTTCCCACTGGGTATCAATAAAGTTAGATAAATGTAATGGAGGAAGAAGTAAAAGTACAGTAAAGGAAGTAAAATACAGATACTCAAAATTGTACTGAAGTACCATAGTTGAGTCAGTTACTGCCTTAGTTACTTTCTACCACCGTACACAGTCTCTTCCAGAGCGGTAGAAACAGGGAGCGGTGGTATTGCACAGGCTATGAGATTGAGTGAATAACTTCCTGTTGCTGGTGGAGAGAGTGGGTGTCTTAAGTGTGTTTGTTATCTAGCTCGGGTGTTTTATCAGGATCAAACAGCAGCTTGGGCATTAGCTAACCAGGACTCGGCTCTTTCATCTGCACTAGTGGGGATAATAATTCTGTTCATGCAGAAAGCAGGAGCAACAGCCTGTGTTCAAGGAAAGCCTGTTAAGCAGAGGGTTTAGTGAAGGGAATTCACCTGCATAAGTAACATTCAAAACACATAAAGGTACAAGTTGGGCTGTTTATCTTCTTCCTTTATTCCTTCAGGAGAAACTCGGCAGCCGTCACTGCAAAATGGAGAATCTATCAAAGCTATACCTGGGTGGGATTTGAAGACGCCTTCCAGTCTCAAAGATTCCTTACATCAGGGTACCACCGCCTCTTACACGTCTCTGATCTCTGGTGATTTTCCATTCTGCACCATTGTATTAAAAAGGCAGAGGTGTGTTTCTTACTAAATGACCATCTCATCATCCCTGATGTGTTTAAAAGAAGCTTTTATTCATGGTGTGTGTCACACCAGTGGTTTTCACTTTTTGTGCACAAGGCACACCTGTATTCATGTCCATGGAAAATGTTCTCTATACCACATGCTACCAACCTTGTCACTCTGTAAACATTTATTTTTATTTACTTATGACAAATACAATGAGTGAGTGAGAGAGGAGAGGTGCAGCTGGCAGGAGAGGGAAGCATCAAGATCTAATCACTCCTTATAGACCAAACTAAAAAGAGAGCTGCACTAGGAATAAATAGGAATAAATTGCTTATAAACACTACATATCAACAGAGAAGAGTATGCACTGACTTGGAATGAAAAACTTCAGTCTAAATTTGTAAAGAAAAGAGATGCATTGAGATTGAAAACAGGTTGACACCAAGTTCCTACCCTATTAATAATCTCTGGACCCCTCAGATGTAATTTGTGTCCCCTCGCAGGAGGCCTACCTCCCAGTGGAAACCACTGGGCAACCTATGTGACTTATTTAAAGTTAAAACTAACTCAGCCTTTGCTAGCCAGAACAATAAAATGCCATTTAAACAGTGATGTATCATTGATAACAATCTCTAATTGTCATATATTATATGAGTAATTGGGATGATTTTATTTTGCTTTTACATTTTACAGAATTCTGTGTGTTCTCCAATGAATAGGATGCATATTGCTTGTATATTCATGGATATAAACCAAAAAAGGGCATTTTTATTGTGCAGAACATCTTATTTTCCTTACATTTATGAGGCCTCCTCTGTTCCCCCCTCCTCTGGTGGTGTAATGGATCTTTTAGTCTTCAGTGGTTCCTCTGTTTCAGGGGACTTCCGCTCTCAGCTAAGTGAGGGTGGCCCTGCTCTAGACCTAAGTCGGCTCAGAGATCATTTAGAGACAGACAGAGCAGGTATGGATTAACATAATCCAGCTAAATCAACTCTGTGGATGACAGCCAGACACTGAGCAGGGCCTGCATGCAGTAACCTTACACATAGACCTACATACTTTTCCCTCTTCCCTCTTTCTCTTTGCAGTTCATACATGGAAATCTTTGACATGATGATTATATGAAGTACCGTCTCAATTTTATAAATGATCACCATTGCCATTTTAACAGGTTAACATGCTTGCACACATCTGAGCATTGCTCACCACCTCGGGCAAGCCCAGTATGCAGAAGCACACCCAGTATATGATAAGATGTATGATATATAAAATCGTTTCCTTCTCACACTGACACTGCCTTTGAACTGTCAAACCACAAACGCTTTCTTGCCAGATATGTGGATATTTTTGCTCGTCCCCCTGAATTTTAGTACAACAGAATGCAGGTCCCCTAAACCCCCCGCCCACCCCCCCCCCCCCCCGGTTTACTTGTGGGAAACTAATAGTGATCATGCGTATGTAGATACATTTGATGTTTGTCCAGGTGTACAGTATATATGGCATGTATGCGGCCTTATGTGCATGTGGGAAGGTGTGTGTACATGCAGCCATGTAAGTTGTGCTGTTTGCCAGGATCCCTTTATTCTAGCCCCGGTACAACAGGGATTTGATGGGCTTTGAGAGATTTAATCACTCTGGGAGTTTGAGTGAACAAGAGGAAATACCCTTAACAAGCAGAGTCAAAGTGTGATTAGTATTCATTTTTTCTACATCTGTTAGATTGTGTGCGCATCGGCCTGTTCTGGTGACTCACATCCCTCAAGTAATGACACATTATCCTTCAACACACACAATAAGCCCCTGCTACTTTATAGGCATGATCAAAAGCAGTACTCATATGTGTCGTTTCATTCCTCTTACCCACTAACTAAGCCCAGTCATTGCTTTTATTAAAAATCTCAAATTTCCAATCTGAATTTTTGACTGATTTATGATAAATCCTTCAGTTCTGTCGGGCCCAACTTTCATTTATGTTTCGAGTCCTAGTCCTTGCTTTCATGGCAAATCTGGAGCTTTTTTTTATTTTTATTGCACGCTGTCGACCTCAACCCTGGTAGTTCCGATTATGATGATCTCCTAACCTTAAACCAGCCGTGTGGTCTTAACAAGCATTTTGCCAGTTCCGTGTTAGCAGTGTTATAGTTCCCCCCGCCCTCCCCAGCTGGACACTAACGAGACGCCACACACTGACCTCTGCAGTGGCTCAAATTAGATGTAAATTGGGCCAGATTTTTACGATGGGTCTCTAATGCGATCCAGATCTCTCTGCCATCATGGCCAGCGGGTCAACGGCGTGAGAATGTCTCGCTCTCTAATGGCATTTGGAGTGGTCGATGAGAGGGGTTGCGGGTAGTGGTGACCTCGCTGGCCTACCCTTTACTTCCTTCTAATTAGAGCGCTGGACCAGATCAAAAGAGCCAACCGCATCGCAGCGGGAGGGCGACTGAAGAAGGAGGCAGGGTAGTTAAGACAAAGAAGAGGAGGAGGAAGACGAGGGTGCAGGAGGAGGGTGAGGTATAAGCCTTTTCTCTAAGTAATGGGCTGCACTGGGGATGGGGGAGAATTGGAGAGTTTTTATTTGCGTTAGTCCTGGAGGCCAGTGGGGCACTCAACCTGCAGTGGTATGCACGCTCTTCTATAGGTGCCCGGAGTAGGCATACCTTAAAGAGGAGATGCTAATAGAGAGGCAGTGGGGGAGAGAAATGTATTTGTGTGTGAGGTACGGAGGGAGGAAAAGAGGGGTGGAGTGTAAAGCACAGGAGAGAATAGACCGTTTTTTTTTCGTGGTCTTTCAGGAGAGCAGTACCTCAGCGCTGTCTGCTGGCCTGCTCTGTGTCTCGCCACAGCTGCGGAGATGAACCCAGACACACAGGAAGTGAAGCGTTTAGCACTTCCTCACCCACAGATGTGTGTGGCTAACGCCCCCAGTCTTAAACATATGGACAAATGCAAAATCAGTAAGCTCCCATACAAACAAACACATCTATCTCTTGTGGAAGCCATGGACACACAGGATCATCACACAGTAACAAGAGCCAGATTACATCTGTTTCCACGGTTACTAATGAGTGCATAAGTAGGCTGGATTATAATACTCGACTGATGTTATCCACCTGGGGACATTTTGTTCCAGGAGAATAGGAGTGTGAAGGTACAGAATACAAAGCCGTGCACACATTTAATATGTAATAATGTGTTAAGATACCGTATATGCATACCCTCTTAATAGTTATGTTCTATTTTTTGATTGTTTTCCACAAATCCTATACAGAAACTAAAACCATCAGTGAATAGGCTGGGAGCTGTGTGAAGGGATCAACAAACAGTGAAACAGCGGCCTGGGAAGTTTATGGTGCTTTGATGGAGCTAGAATTCCAGGAGTTTCCTGTAATTGTGGGATAAGACTGTGTCATCCCTGTCACTCACCTGGATTTATCAGCAGGCAATCTGGA